AACAAACGTACGACGTTGGGTGTAATAGAAATGGAGGCAGAGGATGAAGAAGAAGAAGAAGAAGAAGAAGAAGAAGAAGAAGAAGAAGAAGAAGAAGAAAAGCGTGTATAGTAAATGCATTGGTTGTGGTGGTGATGGGTGTTTAAATACGTTTTTTTATTCAGCCTCATATGTGCTTAAGAAAAATTTCGTATGTATAAGCAAGGACTTAAGACTTCGGATTTCTGGTTTACGGTTTGCTGGTCGGATTTAACTCTGACCATTAGCCTTTTACATATTATATATATATATATATATATATATATATATATATATATATATATATATATATATACTATAATTATTTATTGTTGCGTTATATTTCGATGGATACACGTAGATGTAATTCACATTGTTATAAAACGAAAACAAAACATCAACAACACAGAGCTTTTACTCAAGTCTCAAATAACATAACGTTCATTTGATAAGAAAGAATATCGGATTAAAAGAATCAAATTATATATATATATATATATATATATATATATATATATATATATATATATATATTGACATCCACAGACAGACGGTTTCGCTTGTTTAAGTTGGTGAATGCTTCCATAATCCTTGCCGTCAGTTCATCTTTGGTGTTACAAGGAGTTTTCTTTGTCTCTTGTTCAACTGCGCCTCACACATAATATTCAAGGGGTTGCCGTCTGGGGAGATAGGTGGCCAGATGTAACGGATGATGTTGTTGCAGAAATTGTCTGACAGCCATGACTGGGTTCTCCTGCTTTTGTGGAATGGTACAGAGTCTTGTTGCCAGACATAGGGTCTTCCAGCAGCCACTCTCTTGAACCAGGACAGTATTACCTGCTCAAAGCACTTGATGCAGGCCTCTGTGTTGAGTCTGAGGCCCTCACCAACAAATTCTGGAGTTCTTTTCTTATCAGAATGGAGTAAGTTTTTGGAGCTGCCGTACCTTCGTAGTCGCCATTAAACTCATCCAACTCTTACCCGAATCCTCTGCATTGTCAAACACTCTGAAATGTTGATATTAGAATTTTCGGCGCGAATGCCAAACAATGCAGCATGCCGTTTGCTGGCGGAGTAAATTGCGTCATAGTGCTCTTTTTTCTCACAGTCGGTGCACAACTGACCCTACTATACAGTGCAGTTGCAAAAATAAAAATAAACAATGCACATGAGTGAAACTTCAAATATATAAAATGGCGACAATTTACCCATTGCACCCGGTATATATATTGTGCGCGCGTGCGGCGTATGTCTCTCTGTGTGTGTGTGTGTGTAGGAATGTATGTGTATATGCGTTAACAGAACAATGATTATGTCAGCCATGAAAAAAAAAAAAAAAAGAAAAAAAGATTACTGCTACCCTCATGTCGCTCCGATGGTTATAGGCAAAATGAGCTCTGTCCAATAATCAGGATTTCTGATATAAAATTTCCAAGCTTTCCCCCGGAACTATTTCAGGAATTTATCTATTTATTTAGTTATAATATTATAAGGTAATTTCATTTGACTTCCCACGTCATGTAGAGAAAAAGGAGCAGATTTTTGACATTTGGAACCCTGAACTTTCGAAAGGGTAACAATCTACAAAGAAACTAATGTTAATTGTCCTAACCTCTGAGACAACGACCGTCATCTTTTTTCTTTCTTTCTTTTTTTTTTTTAGATTTCCTTTCTCTCTATAGGTTTTTATTTTCCTTTTTCCTTACTCTTCCTTGTTCTCTCTTCAATATACAGCACCCACCAGTATTACCCCACCAGCGATGATTCTAACAATTATTACTGCAACAACAACAAAGCAGGATATAGTAGCACATGGCTGCTATTTTTTTTTTCTGTTCGTTTGATTCCATTAGTGAGACATTTCCAGTCGTTTATTTCGCATTACTCAACACGCCAAACCATCACATCACTTACTGTCGTTCCTTTCGTGGGAAAACTCGGAACACAGTTCTTATAAAAAAAAAAGAAGGTAGAAACGAAACGAAACTGAAACTCTGAAATTTCATTTACTATTTATTTATTTTTCTTTAATAGGGGTAGATAGGTTCGCTCATCGTCCGGTTCACACTCCTCTGCGATCTTTTGCATAGGGGCAAATATTTATCCTTAGTTACATGTTTAGGATTGTTCCTTCTAAAATCTACTTCAACTTTATACTTATATCGTCTATGCCTGAACCCTGAAATTTTATTTACTACAGACTTATTTATTTTTCTACAATAAGAATAGATAGGTTGGCTTATTGTTCAGTTCACACTCCTCTACTGTCTTTTGAACAGGAGTAGAGTTTTATTCCTAGTTACATGTTTAGGTTTCGTTTTCCGGTTTCTTCTAAAGTCTACTTCAACTCTGTACTTATATCGTCTATGTCTAAATCCTGAAATTTTATTTACTACACATTTATTTATTTTTCCACAATAAGAATAGATAGTTTGGCTTATTGTCCAGTTCACACTCCTCTGTCGTCTTTTGGACAGGAGTAGAGTTTTATCTCTAATTACCTGTGTAAGAAGGGCTTTCCGGTTCATTCTAAAGTCTACTTCGGCTCTGTACTTATAACGTATCCGCTTAAACTTTAAAAAATTATTCATTACTCATTTTATTATTTTTCCTCAATAGGAATAGATAGGTTTGCCTATTATCAAGTTCAAACTCCTCACCGACAAATTCGGGAGTTATTTTCTTATCAGAACGATCAGAGTGAGGTTTTGGAGATTCCGTATCTTCGTGATCACCATCAGAGTCATCAAACTCTTTCCAAATGCTCTGCGCTGTCCTCAGATTGACACACAAAAACGCTGAAATGTTCGTATTGGAGCTTGCGGCGCGAAAGCGAAACAGCACAGAATGCCGTTTCCAAATTTCTGTCGGAGGGAATTGTGTTATGGTGCTCTTTTTCTCACAGACGGTGCCCAACTGACCCTACTATACTGTGCAGTCGACAAAATCAAAAACAACGCTCATGCGCGAAATTAAAATTTACCCATCATATTTATATATATATATATGTATCATTGTTGGGCACTTTCGATTATAGCCTTATTTTGTTTTTTTCTTCTCTTTATGATTCTTTTTCCCGTTTTGTTGTTTTTTTTTCTTATTTCTTTATTTTCATTGGTCACATGACAAGCTTTGTTTTGGTTTTATTAGATACATATATATACATATAATACATATATACATAATACATATATATATATGCATATATATACATATATATATATACAAATATATAGATATATACGCACATATACATATATATATATATACATATATATAATACACATATATATAGATATATAATACCTGTATATATATATATATAATACACATATATATAAATATATAATACCTGTATATATATATACATATATAATATATATATATAATATATATATATGCACATATATATATATATATATATATATATCCACATATACACATATACATATATACATATATATATACATATATATACATACATATACATATATATATAAAGATACATATATATATATATACATAATATGTACATACATATATATATATATATATATATATATATATATATATATATATATGTGTGTGTGTGTGTGTGTGTCTTTAGGAAGCCACTGTTCTTTGAGGTAAATGTTATTAAAACAACGGATATTTTGTGCCGATTAATTTTATTGATCGAAAGAAATCCATCAGAAATTGTCCAAAGTTCATTACGGAAGAAATATGGTGCAAGCTTTTCGATGACGACTTAAGAAAGTCGAAAGCTTGGCTCATATTTCTTCCAAAATGAACTTTAGATAATTTCCGATAGAATTTCCTCCTTATCTGAGAAGGGTTATTTCTGATTTTGAAAAGACGATCAGTAAAATTAATCGAAACGAAATTTTTTTTTGTCTTTAATAATAATAATAATAATTATAACAATGATAATACACACACATACACACACACACACACACACACACACATATAAATATATATATATATTATTCATTTCGCCATAAGCAAGGCGATTATTCTACTAAAACGCAAGGGGCTACTTGGAATTATAAAGAATGAAAAGACGTTAGAAGGAACTGGAAATCTAATGCAAAACAGGAAACAAATCTCAACTCTTGTTCACAAGACAGGGGAGGACCGTGAACCGGACGATAGGTGAAACTATCTAATCCTATTGACACACACACACACACACACACACACACACACACACACACATATATATATATATATATATATATGAGTGTGTGTGTGTGTGTGTATGACTACAGACAAAAAGAAAACTTATCTTAGGGGACGAGTTTCGTCCTCTGTGATAATTCTTTCCTTTGATTTATTCATATTATCCTTTTACAGATATACTCTATGTGAAATCTTTACGTGTGTGTGTGTGTGCGTGTGTGTGTGTACGCATGTATAATGCGAGATGGTGCTGAAAACCATTTGGCCAAAACTTCTCAAAACCTAACCAAATTACATAAAAATCAGTTCTTCCGGGGGTGGGTGGTGGTGGTGGATAATGTTGGTCGATAACCTTTCAGCCCTCTTTTGTGTGCGTATATTCTAAGCTTTTTCCTAAAAAATAAAACCCAAGCTAATTGTATGCAGTTCAGCAGTTCATACCGTACTTAATTCTGTACAGAGTTAAATGGGACGCAGAATTAGGGAGAGCATTTTTACGTTGTAAATAATAACAACTAAGCAATTATGCGAACCCACTTGCGCATAGAATTGGGTAAACACCAAAAGGCTAGGTAAGTGGACATTCGTTAAACAATTTCAAACGCGCATATAAGTAATGAAATGTGAGCGATCTGGTACGCTTCTAACTGAGCAGCTGTACATGGTAATTAAAAACAAAACAAAACTGAAATAAAAGAGAAACGAACTAACAACAATTGACCTTTATTCAATGTATATTAAGCATACAAAAATGTGCTCTCCTTTCTCAAAGTCTAAATTGAATTCTCTTTCTACAGAGCTTACGGCCATATCACGTTGAAACATCGGTCCCCGTACGATCACCGAAGTTAAGTAACGTCGAACCTGGCCAGTACCTTGACTGGTGACCGCTTGGGAAGTCTAGATGCTGTAAACTTGGATATGCGAGTGGTGTAATGCATAAAGGTTTGGAAGTGTTAATCGGAGAGCCGAGTTCCAATTCCAGACAGGATCGTTATATTTATTTATGCACAAGTAAACCACCCCGGCATTCAAGCTTGTATCACCTGTCATTCCCAATCGATCACCCATCTAGGTACTGATTGTAGGGGAAGTGGGGTATCAACCTGATGTGGCTGCAAGCAAGAAGAGGAAGAAGAAGAAGAGGGAGGAGAAGAAGAAGGTCGAATTTTTCTCTATTTTGTGATTGAAAGCATCATCATCAAAAACTCATCAGCATCCTATTTCTGGCATTTTTTCAAGGGATTAGTCAACATCCATAAATGGTTTAATCGATAGTTAGATATTGTTAAGATATTCCCAAAGATGCCTTCCAAAAGCTAAGCAAAATATTATACCTTTTCACTCGAGATCCATCCAACTGATTACGACCAAACTTGGCACATACATTGTACAATGTAAGAGATAGGTTCTTAGCGTAAAAAATCGATAATTTAAAAAAATCAATAATCGATAAAGCCGTATCTGTCTATATTTCTAAAACGAGGTATTATGTACACTATTTACATTATTCAGACTATTGTCCTCATCTTTGTCGCCATATTTATTACAACGTTTCGGCCATTGTACGCTCCGGCCTTGTTCAGGTGGTTGAAATGTCGAACTGAACCCCTTATTTCGCTCACTGGGGTAGACTGTTCTAGTTCCACGTGTCATGTCTAATGGATGTTAGTTATCAGTTATCTCTTGTTAATTTCCCTTTCCAATTTCTCGACCGTCTTAACCAGGTATTGAACTCACACTCTTTGGGTCCTGTTTCTGGATCTAACTAACGCTTTTATCCACTGTGCCCTGTGTCATTGAGGACATCTGTGTATGAATTTCTGGGTATTATAAACCTAATGTCTTCAGCAACATTTTTTTACCAGTGCTCATATTGCAATTTTTGCTGTTATGATTTCATGTTTTTACCAGAGCTCATATTGCAATTTTTGTTGTTGTTATCGCTTTTCTCTTGTTTCCTTATTACGTGATCCAATATTGTATTCATTTCTATGCTTGGTCGGCTCAGGAAATTTTTGTGGCCTAGCATATGTGCTGATTCCTTAAGTTTACGAATTTCCCAATGATGTTCTTTGTCTATGATCTCAACCTGATCCCACTGAGGGTGGTGATCTCCCTTTTCTCTCCATATGTGGTCAGCCACTCCTGATTTTTCCACATGGCACGTGGAACTAGAACAGTCTACCCCAGGGAACAAAATAAAGAGTTCAGTTCGACATTCCACCTGAAGAAGGCCGGAATATACTGAAACATTGTGATAAATATGGCGACAAAGATGAGGACAATAGTCCGCAAAAATGTAAATAGTGTATCGATAAAGCCGATCAAAAATCGATGAATTAAACCCCCTTCGATTTCGTTCAAACTCGGTATGTAGGTTACTTACATCATAAAAAGCTCAACGATACCTCATTTTTTTTTATTTCTACGCCACTGCATTTAACGAAAACGGCGAAAAATGAAAAATCGATTTCAAGCCAAATTTTAAACTAAAACTCCCTCAATTTTCAAGCAATCTAATACAAACTTCATTCAATTGTAGCCAACAATACCTTGATTGTTTAACAGTCATTTAACTTGATAACTGAGTCCACCCATATAGTGAAAACTCACGTAAATAGCAAAATAATGGTGATCCCTACTGGTTTCTTTGTTATTTTTTGTAGGTCTTTCAAACAGGATACATTTATAAAGCAATTGTTAAGTTTGATGAAACTTAACAATGGCTTTATAAATGTATCCTCTTTTACATTCCTGGTAGCACACTGACAAATTGAATTTCAAAAACTCCAAAATAATTGTGGTCTGAATTGGGTTTTCATGTTGCCTGTTTTACGCCTTCATGTCCTCAGCTAATTTCTATTGAATAAATACAGACTGCTTCTGTTATATCAGTAATTGCATTAATTGAAAATGTTTTTTAATGAAAGTAATTGAAGAAGATATGCTGTTTTTGCTCCATTCTCATTGAACGCTATTTCTGATCGACCAGCTTGATATGGCTGCTAGTACTATATATAAATATAAATACTTTAGTTGAAGCATAGTACTTAAATGTACAGATGAAAAAAAGGTTTGGAGTAAAGGTCTGTAATAAACGAAAATAATTTTGATACATTCATATTTTTATTTTTAATTTATTTTCCTTAAACGTTATTTTTTTTTAATAGATATTAATATACGAATAGAAGCTCTGTTTTTTAATTAAACAGTATTGGATCTGACGTGCCTAACCGCTTGAACACGGAGAAGTTAGGGTCAAAGGCCATATAGTACCTTTTGAACACACACTCTCTGCTGATTCCCGAAATATCCATATCTTCTCCGTTTCGTATCCTAAAGAAACAAAGACAATTTATTTTAGAAAATGGATTAAATCCGCCATATTTTTTTTATTTTTTATTTATTTTGTTTAAAAGTTATTTTGATGGATACTCATATTCTAGTAGAAGCTCTGTCTTTTAATTGAACTGTATTTTATCTAACTACATCTACCAGCCTGAATATTCCATAAATCTCGTCAGAAATACACTTATATATATATATATATATATATATATATATATATATATATATATATATATATATATATATATATATATAAGTGCGTAGGTATGCAGAAAATAGAAAAGAACCCGTTGGGTGCATAATCCGGGGTTCTTAGTATTTTTGTTTTTGTTTTTAAGAAGACAATGCTCCATACAGAAGTAGAGCTTATATTATAATAATATTTTTTGTTTAAAAATATGATTCCTTCGCTACATAAGAGTTCTCATGTTTCAAAAACGAGAGCCGAAATATCCAAATAATTATTAAAATTAAGTTGAATTGTGGTGTTAATCCCGTTTCATCTTCAAGCGAAATTTTAGGATTCCTAAAATTTCGCTTGAAGATGAAACGAGACTAAACACCACAAATAGAAAAATATCCGTGAAAATTTGACGGTTTTCTTATTTTGATTATTTGATGAATCTTAATACATAAATAATCTCATATATATATATATATTTGATGAATCTAAATACATAAATAATCTCATATATATATATATATATATATATATATATATATATATATATATATATATATTATTATTAATGATAAATAGAAAAATATCCGTGAAAATTTGACGGTTTTCTTATTTTGATTATTTGATGAATTTTAATACATAAATAATCTCATGGTGAGTTCTACGACAATAAAATATCCGTAGAAATTTGATTATCGCATCGTTAAATATTTGAGCTTAACAACTTTAGCAAAATATTGCAATAAAAATCATAAGTATAAATGTCGGTCATTATTTAAAGAAGTAAGAGGGTACAAATGGAAAGACTCAAAACTGACAAAATATTGCAATAAGAATCATAAGTATAAATGCTGGTCATTATTTTAAGAATTAAGAGGGTAGAAAATGAAAAGATTTAAAATTGTTAACTTTTCCCATTTCACTGAAACAGATTTTATAAACTGCCATCTTCCTTTCTCCTCTCTTTTCGTTTCTTCTTTCTTTCTTTCTTTCTTTCTTTCTTTCTTACAGAAACTAAGTAGCGTATTTGATATGTCTTCCCGCGTAATCAAGATGGTATAGTCCTTTATTATAGCAGGATACGTTAGACCATTCTTTCTTTCTTTCTTTCTTTCTTTCTTTCTTTCTTTCTTTCTTTTTCTCCCTGAAGCCATATAGCATCTCTGATATGTCATTCCCGCCTTTTCACGCTATCAGATCGGAATAGTTCATTATTTATAAGTTATTAGCAAGGCGTAACGCTCGTGCCAACTAACTAACGAAGGTGGGGGGAGAAGCAATCTTATAATAGGATTATTAATTTTTGACAATTAATTCTTTTAGATTTTTTGTTGAAATGATTAATTGTCATTATTATACGCCTTGCTATTTCGGACTAGCATCCTCATCTTGGTTGTTACACTCCCAATGTTTGTCAAAATCTTTGAGATGAAGGAATTATTATTATTATTTTCCTTGCTATTTGGGCCAATAGCCTCATCTAGGATAAAAAATCCACTGAAGGATACTGAGTAGAACAAAAGGTACCTGATGAAGGCTGGAGAGTACAGCAGTCGAAACGTTGTGACACACCAAGATGATCATTTTAGTCTGAATAACAGGGCCTAGAATAGAATTTATTTAATTGCAACTTCCAGATCGCTATTCTACGGTTATTAGTAATATTACTACTATAGAGACTCCTTTCGTGTCTCATCAGAACGTGAGCGCTCTTGGCTCTCCACAGCTTCCAATCCTTGGTACTTCTTAGTAAGACTTGTCTTTTCACCATTTCTCTCGCTCCCTGTTTTGCCAGCCATTTAGACTCTCGCACTGTCTCTCGTGGCGAATATGGCGAAAAGTTGTGTTAATTTAACTGTAGTTTCTATTGCAGGGACCCTAAATCCACTTGATTTTTGAAAAGAGGCTCGTTAAACTAATCTGTCATTTATAACTTACTGTAAGATTCCAATGACTTTCCTAGTAAAAAGAGACTTAAATGTACCCAGAACGGAACAGTGCAAATTTGATTAACCTCAAACAATCATTTTGTTTAATCAATTCCCTCCAAGAAAGGCGATAATGCTACTAAGACTACAGGAAAAGAGAATGAAAAGAAACTCAATCCTAAACGGTAAACAAATCCTGTTCAAATGACCGGGGAGGAGCGATAGGAAATCTGATCGACTGCTGTTATCATTAAGGCAGGAAAAAAATTAAATAGTAAATAAAATTTCATAGTTCAGGCAGAGCTGTTAGAAGGAACCGGAGACCTGATTCTAAACAGGAAGCTCCTGTTCAAAAGAACGGGGAGGATTGTATACCAGGGGCGATAGGCAAATCTATCTGCTCCCTAATATCATGACGTGACAAATGTACAAACTTAAGACTAAATTCTAACCTAATCTTTTCTTTCTTTCCTACTTCGTTTGTTTTAGTTTCATTCTTTGTTATTTTCCTTCTTTTTTTATTTTGTAGTTCATTTCTTTGGTCTCACTTCATTTTTAAGTTTCTTTCTACCTCACTTTTTACTTTCTTTCTTCCTCACTTTTTACTTTTTTCTTCCTCTCTTTTTACTTTCTTTCTACCTCACTTTTTACTTACTTTTTACCTCACTTTTTACTTTCCATCTTCCTCACTTTTTACTTTCCATCTTCCTCACTTTTTACTTTCCATCTTCCTCACTTTTTACTTTCTTTCTTCCTCACTTTTTACTTTCTTTCTACCTCACTTTTTACTTTCCATCTTCCTCACTTTTTACTTTCCATCTTCCTCACTTTTTACTTTCTTTCTACATCACTTTTTACTTTCTTTCTACCTCACTTTTTACTTTCCATCTTCTTCACTTTTTACTTTCTTTCTTCCTCACTTTTTACTTTCTTTCTACCTCACTTTTTACTTTCCATCTTCCTCACTTTTTACTTTCCATCTTCCTCACTTTTTACTTTCTTTCTACATCACTTTTTACTTTCTTTCTACCTCACTTTTTACTTTCCATCTTCCTCACTTTTTACTTTCCATCTTCCTCACTTTTTACTTTCCATCTTCCTCACTTTTTACTTTCTTTCTACATCACTTTTTACTTTCTTTCTACCTCACTTTTTACTTTCCATCTTCCTCACTTTTTACTTTCTTTCTACATCACTTTTTAATTTCTTTCTACCTCACTTTTTACTTTCTTTCTTCCTCACTTTTTACTTTCTTTCTTCCCCACTTTTTACTTACTCTCTTCCTCACTTTTTACTTTCTTTGTACTTCACTTTCTAGTATCTTTCTTCCTCACTTTTCCTCTACTTCACATTTTAATTTTTTTCTACATCATTTAAAATGTCTTTTTCCTCACTTTTTAGTTCTTTTCTACCTCACTTTTTATTTACATTCTACAACACTTTTTCGTTTCTTTTTACCTCATTATTTACTTACTTTCTACCTGATTTTTAAGTGTCTTTCTGCCTCTCATTTTAGTTTATTTCTACTTCACTTATTACTTTCTTTCTACCTCACTTTTAGTTTCTTTCTACCTCACTTTTTAGTTTTTTTTCTACCTTATTTTTAAATTTCTGTCGACCACATTTTTAAATATCTTTCTACCTCACTTTTTCGTTCTTTTCTATCTCACTTTTTAGTTTCTTTCTACCTCATTTTTAAATTTTTTCTACCTCGCTTTTTAGTTTCTTTCTACATCACTTTTTGTTTCTTTCTACCTCATTTTTAAGTTTCTTTCTATCTCACTATTAATTTCTTATTTCTCTCTTTCTCCTATTTATCCGTTCTTTCTTTCTCTCTTTCTTTCTTTCTTTCTTTCTCTCTTTCTCTCTTTCTTTCTTTTTGTTTGTTTCTTTTTTTTTTAATTATTTCTTTCTGCCTGTCCAGTGCTGTTTTGTCTATACTAATCGTACGCATCAATTTCTTTTACATCCTAAATAAAATCGAATGCAACTGTACCGGGGAGTCTTTTTCTTTTTCGATTCATCCATTCATTCAGTCAACATGTAGAAGAATTAAGGACAGAACTGAATGTGATAACAACGCTCAGCACAACGCGAACGAACGACAAAACGAATGTCACCGGCGTGGGTGTGTAAAAGGTTGCAGCGACGATGAGCGATGACAACATCGCTCGAGATGAGGTTGGTTGGTGGTTGGTTACCAGTAACCGTCTGTCTTGCCCGTCGCCGCGTGCAGGCCTGGTTTTCGACCGATAATTGCAGGACAATTAGCCAGGTGTTAGTCCACCTCCGTACTGGCCTTCGCCCTTTCGGCAACAATAGCACTTTACTTGATTTCGAAATAGTTTTCTTTTTCTTTTGAAGCTGAAGTTCCAAGTGGCTGATTCATATATAAGAACAATTGTTGATTGGCCCGGAGCAAGGTAGTTGGGCGTTAGAGCGTTCTGATTGGTTGCTTGAAATTGACGTCAGTTCTTGTGGATATATGTGTATAAATAGTCGTACCCACTTATCCGCGAAGAACTGTTCAAACAACACGAGCAGATACCTAAAAGCGCGGTTAGTACCGATGGCACTCTCATTCTCTCTCTCTCTCTCTCTCTCTCTATATATATATATATATATATATATATATATATATATATAGATATCGTGAAAAAAGTTTTAAGACGGTGATTATATAAATTTCATCCGATAGTAACATTAGTTTTGCGGTCAATAAATACCTAATTTTTCCTGTATGGAAACTCCTAATTTTACCATAACTATATTATTATTATTATTTTCTTTGATTTCTGGCGTTTACACATTTCTTTCCGGGTCCCGCCCAGGGACCTAAAGTTAGAAATGGCGTCATGACACTTTCCACTGACAAAAAAAAAAAAAAAATTCATAGATAAAGCCCTTTGTAAAGTGTGGGCTGTACTTGTAAGAACAATTTTTTGTATCTCCTTGAGGCATGGACTTCCAGGAATCTCTTCAATTAGTCTACTGGAATCTTTTCCAACCAGTCCTAGGGCTCCAACTACAACAGGGATTGTTGATGTTCCCATATGTCACATTTTCGAGATTTCTATTTCAAGGTCCTTGTATTTTGACAGCTTTTTGAATATCTTCAAAGATACATTGCAGTCAGCAGGGACTGCCATATCAATAAGGAGGCACCGTTTTTGTTTGTGGTCTTTAATAACAATATCTGGGCGGTTGGCCTTGATTGTTCTGTCAGTGTGTATTGTGTAGTCCCATAGAATTGTAACAGGTCCTATCTCCGTAACCGGGTCTGGGTGGTGTTCATACCAGTTTCTTTCAGTTTCCTACCCGTAGAAGTTGCAGATTTCTATTTATTATTATTATTATTATTGTTATTATTATTACTTAAACGTTATATTTCAATGTCGGTATAATCCACACTGTTAAAACAAAAGAAACAACTGAGCGTTTACTTAAACACGTGCATCAACAAAAGTATAACTTTTAAGTAATACGAAAGAATGTCAGATTCAAAATAGAAAACCATTAATTCGCTAGAAATTTTATATATATATATATATATATATATATATATATATATATATATATATTAAGCATTCAACCCCAAGCAAGGCGGGAAGCCACTAGCACGCAAAGGGTTACAGAGAGTTGGAGCGAGAACAAAGAGGAGTGATAAAAGAAAGGATGAAGAGAATGATAGGGGACAGATCAGGGCATCTGGAGACGTCGATTGAGTTACATTTAAATAGTTGGAGATTATAGCTATCAGAAAAACAAGAAATGGGGAGGGAGTTCCACAGGCGAGAAGTGTGAGATATGAAGCTATTGGAGTAGAAGAGACGGCTTCATTTAACAGTTTCGACAGTGAAAGGGTGAGAGCGAGATGCCAGCCTAGTTGAACGCTTAAATTCATGAAGTCTGGGAACCAGCGAAAGCAGCTCATCGGAGCAGTTACCGTGAAAGTATTTGTAAAAAAGACAGATCAGGGCCAATTACACTGCATATCCGTCTTTGGATCTTATCAAGAACCCCGAGGCGAACAGAAGGGGCTCCAAACCATATATGGCAGCAATACTCCATGCAAGGGCAAATGGTTGATTTGTAGATTTGAAGGATCGACGAGAAAATTTTCCTGGCGCGGCATAGGGAGCCAACTTTCCTAGCGGTGGACGAAGCTATTTTCTCAATGTATTCGTTCCATCTCAGGTCAGTGGACAATGTGAGACCGAGCAGTCGCAAAGAAGTGCTTTCGTGGTTTGGCAGCATCTTTTTATTGAGATATATTTTATTGAATAATTTAAAGAAATTTTGTCTACTTATTTTCAATTGGATCCTTTCATATTCACGAACAATCTTTTTGGTGTCATTATTAAAGTAACACAGAAAATTAACATATTGTTTATTCCGAGTACTTTCGATATTAGCACACTATCATCTTCCTTTAATAATGACACCAAAAAACTGGTCAGTGAATATGAAAGGATCCATTTGAAAATAAGTAGACAAAATTTATCTAAATTATTCAATGAAACATCCCTCTCTCTCTCTATATATATATATATGTGTGTGTGTGTGTGCGTGTGTTTGTTCAGCAATCCCTCTTTAAGACATATTTTGTTGAAAAGTCTGGCAATCTAATTTTGTTGGGTTCAGTAACTTTTACGCTTACACACCATTTTTTTAATCATTTCATCCCAAAGAAGGTGATAAATCCACTATGACACAAGGAGTTACTGAGTTTGAAAGAAAAAGAAAAAAGAAAAAGAAAAAAAAGATTATTAAGGAGCGAGATCAATAAAAGAAGAGGGATCAAGAAGACAGTAGTTAACAACTTTACATATAAATCTTTGAAGATCAAAGTTAACTGAAAAGTAGAACAGCCGAGAGAGTGTTCCACAAGCGAGAAGTACGGGAGAAGAAACCGTTAGCATAGAACTTACGGTTACATCTAGCCAATTAAAATGTAAAATGATGAGACCTTGCAGTCAATCTAGTATTGCGCTTAAATTCATAATGATTAGAGACCATAGGGCAAAATTCATCTGAACAATTACGATGAAAGTATTCAGAGAAAAGGCACAGGGAAGCTAAATTACGGCAGTGAGAAAGTAACTGAAGTCGAGATGCCAGGTCAGGACCAATAACATTGCAGATTCTCATTTGGATTTTATCAAGAATTTCTAAATATATAGCAAGATCACCACACCATATGTGGCAGCAATATTCAAAGCATGGACAAATGGTAAACATAAATATGTAAGATAGATTCCGAAGAGAAAAAAAAATGTCTAGCACAATATAGTGAACCAACATTTCTATCAGCAGACATAGCAGTTGATCCAATAGGCGCAAAGAGTCACTCTCCTAGAGGTTAGCATCAGCCATGCTAATGGAAGGCAGGAAGGCGTTTCTCATGTGATTAATAGAAAGCTGTTTCGTTTTGAAGACAATACAATTAACAAGTCATTCCTTGCCGCATTTAACAGAAGATTCTAGGTGACTTTTGGGATCAGCTGGCAATTTGAATTCACCGGACGGATCAGATTCGTTTTAGTAACATAATAAAAATCCTTGAAAATGACAAATAGTTAAGCCGAAAGCACTCAGGATCAAACTTTTGAAAATTTTTTATGCTCGTTAAGCACTTGTACGCAAAGAAGAAAATCATATTAAAAAGCTAAATGAAAGTTGCTTATGAGTGTTATTCAACGAAACACACACACACACACACACACACACACACACACACACACACACACAACACACACACATACATCATACAATATATATATATATATATATATATATATATATATATATATATATATTAGGATATTATAACAAAAGAATCGCTGCACTACTGCAGTCGTCTTTCAACGCATAACGATGCGTCCTCTCAGGCGATTGTAAATTACTCGTTCACTCGCTCGTAATTTATAATCGCCTGAGGAGACGCATCGTTATGTGTTGAAACACGACTGCAATTGTGTAGCGATTCTTATTTTTTTCGTTGTAATATCCTAAAATAAGTAATATTGCACTACTATTTTAAATTAAATGTGACGAACGTACCTATATATATATATATATATATATATATATATATATATATATATATATATATATATATATATTTCTGGCTGCGTATTTACATCCAGGCATGTTTGGTTAATTAACGTATTATTAAATATGTTTTATTGTTATTATTATGTCTTAATATTAAAGACGTATTATGTCTGTTTATTTTAGTTTTAATCTTTTCAAGTACACGAATTGATTTCTTGGTGGCTGTAGAAAATTGATTAAGAAAAATTCCAGAATATTCTTTCAAATAAATTTTATTTTCCCAAGTACTTTCAATCTCATCTGAGAATTTTCTTCAGGGCTTGCATATCTATGGATGTGTTATGCGTTAACACCGTAAATTCAAAATATATTTTTTTAACTCTATTCAAGGGAGGTAAATAAAAATGAACATAATACGTACTGTTATAAAAGAGCATAAAAAAAAGGTAAGAAGTGAAAATCATGTGGGTCATGTTCGAAAGATAACATTTAATTCTAGACTTGAAGTTAATATTTTCGTGATTGAGGAAAAAACCTTGCTCGGAGTGTGCTCCATAAAGCAGCAGTTCTTGGGAAGAAGTTGTCCGAATGGAACTTACTTCTTACGAAGGGAATGGGGGGATGATTTTCAGTTGCGTACGTGGCATGACGGGTCTCAGCTATAAAGGTCAGAAGTGGTAGGGTTAAGGAATGGGGTGGTGTCATAGAAATTGCGATAGAGCAGCGAGAGGCTCGCGATGTTTCGTTTGCAAGAAAGGCCTTGCAAAGTTGAAATAGATAGTTTGTATAAATGTGAAAAGAAGTGGAAAGTTTGCAATGGACCAGTCTTTCAAATGGAAATGTCCTGCCTATCTTGAAAATAAGCATTCAAAAATCCTTGAGTTATAGATTTAATCGAAAGCCGACCTTTAAAACTTGTAGCCTCATGATGAAAAAAAAAATCATGTTACACAAACGAATATTAGCTAGAAATATCCGTAAGAAATCTAAAGTTTTTCTAGTGGAAAATTTAATTCTTAAATAAATGACCGAATAAACACGTGGAGGGTTTCACGATTATAAAATACTAGTGGAAAAGTCCCTATCGCATCGTTTAATATTTGAGTTTAACAACTTATACAAAAAAACAAAACATTGCAGTAACAAATACGAATGCAGATCATTATTTAAAGGAGTTAGAGAGTACAAATAAAAAGATTTGAAACAAACAAGTTTTCCATTTCACTGAAGCAGACGTTTAACGCATAAATGCCTCCTCTATCTTACCTTTCTTTCTTATATAAAGAAAGAAAGAAATCTTTCTTTTTTCTTGATATTGTGTATGCTTTCTTATTTTCATTAAAACCAAAAAGCGTCCTCTATCTTAGCTTATATAAAGAAAGAAATCTTTTTTCTTTCTTTCTTTCTTTCTTTCTTTCTTTATATTATGTATGCTTTCTTATTTGCATTAAAACCAAAAAGCGGCTTCTATCTTAGCTTTCTTTTTTATATAAAGAAAGAAATCTTTTTCTTTCTTTCTTTCTTTCTTTCTTTCTTTCTTTCTTTCTTTCTTTCTATTATGTATGCTTTCTTATTTTTATTAAAACCAAACAGCACCCTCTATCTTAGCCTTCTTTTTTGTTATATAATGAAAGAAAGAAATCTTTTTCTTTCTTTCTTTCTTTCTTTCTTTCTTTCTTTCTTTCTTTCTTTCCTGTATGCTTTCATAATTATAGTATGCTTTTTCCATATAATTTTCATCCTTCTTAATGTATTTAATTTAGCGGAGAATATTAATCCGTTAGATAAAACATTATACAGTGAAAATTTCAGATCATAATTCACTACGTATCAGGATACATGCTTGTAGATCTAACCTCTTTTTTTCCAGAGCACCAAATGGAAGGTTATTATTACCATTAATGTCACAATCTTTTTTTCTTTGCGAGAATATAGTTTGGCTCGTTTAATAAAGACGTCGAACTTTTAAAACGAAAAAAGAAAGAGAGAGAAATCAGGCATACAGGTGTTAAATGTTATTTATTTGAAAGAAAAAAAAACGATTGTTCTATTTTTATTAGTTAACAAATACTCAGACCCGTTTCGACACTTAATTTAAACTTAAGAGGTGTTGTTAGACAATGGCCATTGTTTTTTTGAAATGGCCGACAAATATCAAATACATCGCACCTGCGCAGTTAAATATAAAACGGCATCCACGTGTTGCAACAGATTTTTTCCATCTTCTATTGAGAATCTAGTGACAATAGATAATAGAAAAAAAAGGGAAGAATTAAAAAAAAAGAAAAAAGAAAAGAAAATGAGGGACACTTGAAGTCATTTATCAAAATCAACTTCATTTAATTAAGGAAAATATTTCAATGGTAATAAAAAATGTAGCTGGTTTAATAAAAGCAACTACTACTATTACTGCTACTGCTACTATAACTACTACTAATATGTAGTTTTTTAACGAGCTACATTCCTTAGTTCCATCATTTCAAATCTTTACAGTTAACACCCACCATGCCACATACACAGGATAGGCTCATGCTCATTCACTTCGCATTCTGTTAGTAAGAAGGAAGTCCCACCCGGAATGTTGGTTCCATAGAACCGCTAATTCATGGAAGAGACTCCTGAGACGATGCTTCCACGATCACTACAATCTTAACCTCTTCAAGTCTTGGTTCAGCTTTTATCTATCCTACATATCCTCATAATCTGCACTTCTTACCGCCTTACATCCCTGCAACAACCTCCTTCAGTAAGCCTCTAACTTGAGTGGTTCTTGTGCCTTGTATCGGTTGAACGTTATTTCCTATTACTACAAAAGATATTTTGCGTATACCCATGTTTCAGTAAACGCCCTGTTCTTTTTTAAAAGTGTGAACCTGCTTCTTTCTTTGTAGAAGATCAGACGCTGGTGGGGGGGGCAGGTTCGAACGCTTTATTAAATCTCGAATGTGCAGGCCGGTAAATTCAAACTGTTTTCTTTAAAGATAGGGCGTCTACTCAAAGATGGTATATCTCAGATAACATTTGGAGTAATAGGATATATATATATATATATATATATATATATATAGATAGATAGATAGATAGATAGATAGATATGTCTGTGTGCGTGTGTAGAACGTAATTTTTACTGGATATCCGCGTTTGAAATAAACACCCTGTTTTTTTTTTTTTTTTTTAAACCTTTAACACTATCTTATTACAGCATGTGTAATCGAGAAAAATGTGCTCTCCGGCAAAACCTGCCTCCTCCCTTGTTAGGAAAAACCACCTTTTGATCCGGCATGCTTTTGATAACTCGGCCACAGTGAGCCTCACAGCCAAGAAGTTTTCTCGTACGAAGGCCGATAGTCGTAATAATACACACTGTTTAAAACAAACAAACAAACAAAAATAAAACAAGGCGACTATTTCAAACATGGTTATCCACTAAAAGTAACGTTTGAAGTACTAAAAGTATCGGATTAAAAATAAACCATTAATTCTTTATATATATATATATATATATATATATATATATATATATATATATATATATATATAAAAAAGGCTTAAACACTAATATTCCATGGGCAAAATTTATTCCATTGGAATCGTAAATACGATCAATTCATAAGACCTATAAATTCAAAAAAAAATATTTATGTGTATATATATATATATATATATATATATATATATATATATAATTATTTAAATTAATAAATTATAATAATTAACTAATATAATAATATAAGCTTAATAATGTGCACATTATTAAGCTTATAAATAATAATAATCTATTAAACAATAGACATGAGTTAACGGTTTTTTGTAGACATCATCAGATTTTTGGTTTGAATTATTAGCTAAAAAAAGCATATAATAACTTGTTTAATCCATAGCCCAATCATCAGATTCATGGTTTGAATAATTAACTAAAAACATGCATACAATATAACACCCTTCATAATCCATAGCCCAAATAAATACTTTAAATACCCTACAAAAAAGATAACCCTTTATGATGTCGTCAAAAAACAAACGTTACGACAGTTTTTTATCCCTTTCATAAAAAATCCCTTTCATAAAAAAATAAAATAAAAAAATAAATAAATCTCCATAGACATGCAAACTAGACGAGGGTTAATACATCTTCCGTTTAAAATTTAGACAGCCTTACCTTTCCCTGACTTGACATCTATGAAAGTAACTCTATACTGATACTTATTATTAACACCCAACTCTCGCCTACCCAATTTAAACAATTCGCCCTAGCTGTTAACATTGAAATTTTGATTTCAATTTTTAAAACACGTAAATTTCAGATATACGTGATTCCCAAAAAAATTTCGCTTGAAGATGGAACAGAGCTTATTTTAACTCAATTTAATTTAAATAATTATATTGAAGTTTTCGGCTCTTGTTTTGAAACATGAGACTTCTTATGTAGCGTTTTGGAATCATATTTTTAAATAAATAATTATATTTATGCTCTACTATTGTATCGAGCACTATTTTTAAAAAATAATAACTAAAATACTAAGGGACTTTGGATTATTTACCTAACCAGTTCCTTCCTATTTTCTATATATTTTCACACACACACATACATACACACACACACACACACACACACACACACACACACACACACACATATATATATATATATATATATATATATATCCTTTAATAATCCCTTCCTTTAATAAGAACACCAAAAAGCTTGTTCGTTAAAATGAAAGGATCCAGTTTAAAATAAATAAATAATAAACTGAATTATTCAATGAAACATATTTCTTCAAGCGCTATTATAGTGGATATTCCGTATCTAAAATAGACATTCCACTTTTATTCTATTTATTTAACAGTGTTTATTACATCTATCGACTTGCACTTCACTTTATAAACATTGTTTGATCCAGTGTGCTTTCCCTTTCGTAGACGAAGAATGGCGCAGCAAATAAGGTTATATTTTTCTATTTTTAAGGAAGCATTATTTTCTTGAAAGTCATAACTGATTAGTTTCATAACCGATACGTAAAAGTCCTAAAGAATTAATGGATTTATTTTTAATCTGACATCTTTATTATTTCAAATATTATTAAAGCGGATAGTTCGTATTTGAAATAGACGCCGCCATTTTAATTTTATTTATTAAAACAGTGTGTATTACGCTTGTCATCCTACGCATTCGAGAAATCTTATTAAAGAAAATGCGTCAACGTTTCTCGAACGGTGTTGTTTTTCAAACATGGCATTATTCAATAAATACATAATTAATATTCCGTTGCTTCTTAATAATATCCAAAGCACCGTTTAGGCTTTCTGCGGGAATTAGTCGTAATAATAACACCCCAAGAGCGGATTTTCAGTTCGTAAGGATAATTCCTAATCTCAGAAATTAACTGAATGGAAATTATTTTTTTTATTCTTTTATATAAATGTAACCAAATAACTGCCCTACAGAATTAAGCATTTAGAGAAGGATTTCTAATAGTCGTTGTAACATATAATAATAATAATATTAATAATAATAATAACTGATCAAAAAGTATTGGGTCTGTTGTTATGGTAACGGAGCTAAAGTACATAGAGTGAAGTTGCTTGGCATAGATTGACCTTGGACTCTGTCGCGCATGCACACTAAGTTATAACGTTCTTGCTCTGTTATTTTTTAAGTGTTTGGAAGGAAAGTGTGTAGAGTGTGGTCGTCTCACCAAAGACGTTCTGTCAGTGACTATGGCTTGTGCAACACTTTTTGGCTAAGGACATGATTCCCCGCGCTCGACAACCACAATATTTACCCAGATCTCACTCCTTGCGACTTTTCCTTCTTTTCAGAAATCAAATCGCACTTGAAAGGAACAAGATTTCAAAGACGTCGAGGCAGTCCAAGAAAATGCGACGAGGCGGCTGCTCGCTACCCCCAAAAATGAAATTCCAGGAATGCTTCCATCAATGGAAACGACGCTGGTGTTGCTTTAGCGGGGGGGGGACTAAATGCCGAATTAATATGCGCTGTAGCTTTTTTGATACCACCAGTCCTCATACTTTGTGCTTAAACCTCGTATTTGTAGATTTAAAAATAATTAATTCTGAATAAAACAAATAATAATAATAATAATGATAATACCAGGATCTAGCTAGGGAGTTTAAAAAAAAAACTTTAGAAATAATCCCGTTGTAATGGGGATCCTTGGAATATCTCCAATTCCTAAAAGTCCCTAATTTAAGAACAGTCTTGTTGACCTTTATGCCTCATGATCACGAATTCCGTAACGCATTAGGTTCGTAGGGACACTTCCCGCACGGAAATGGTATTTTCCGGTTCAAGGATCCCAACCCTCTCCAGGTTGGTTTGAATTCAGAAATTTCTTTCTCCTAGACGAAGAGTTTTTCTTTCTCCAAGGCTATAGGACCGAGTCTATCCAGCTATTTATCCATAGCTGGGGGAAGTGAATGTAATGAACCCGACTGGAATTCGAACTTGGATCTCCAATTCTTCAATCCGAGCCGCGTCTCAAGAACAGAATTTCATTTGATTATGTCAGTGTGCGACACGAACATCATAATAATAAAAATAATAATAAAAAAGCAAATGCAATGTAACAAATGCAGAAACGATAGAAAGATAAGACCCTTCATGGTCAATACTCTGCCCGCACCAAACAAACTGGTGTAAACAAACCCCATACCCATCAGTGACGACGTAGTGCAGGGTTAAAAGCTGAAACCGAAGGTTTTATTCTTGCTGCAGGGGACCAATGCTTGCTAACTAGATATTACCAAGCACATATACTGAAAAATTGTGTTGACTCGAAATGCAGATCTTACTTATTATAAAACGCAGTGTGTTTGTGTGTGTGTGTGTGTGTGTGTACGTTTATATATTGGATCGGATTTCCTACATTTTTAAACCGATTTCAACAAAACTTCACAGGACGGCGTAAAATTACCTTGCAGTGGTTCTGACAGCACCAAAAACTG